GTAGAACAACCATATTAACTATCCTGTATATACGTACATACCAAATTTCTCCTTCTTTCCCTTCTCTTATCCCACATCCCAATTGCCCTTTAGCCTTGAGTGCTTTCCTATCATTTCACAATGTCTGTCGTACCTCCTAGTTTAAATTAACTCTTTCAGGTTTTACACTAGTGAAACAGTGCAGTGCTTGCACATGTATGTTTGATTTATTTCACTTATGAGCATTTTTAAATTTTGTATTTTATTTTGTTTTCTGTGTTGATGCTTGTAGATTTCTTATGTAAGATAGCTTTATCCCTGGTGTCAAGGCTTTCCTAGGAGGTGTCTGGTCCTCTGGATGTCTTTCAGATGTAGGTTGTTCTTGGTCTGTTCCAAGAACCTACCTTCCTAATATATTAAGACTGACGAGTTGCTATCAGTTTGACTTAGGGCCCATTCCTCTGGTTCTCAACTATGGTGATGGTTATGATCGTTTACAATGACAGTATTTTTCTACAGCAGGGAAAAATTGGTTATAGCATGTACAACATTCTGGTAAAAGTGGTTCAGTCAGCAATAACAAGAGACTCAGGTGCAGCCTGGCTACTGACAAACTGTGGTAATTATTAGCCTGATATCTATAACTGTAGGAGGAAGGGCTACAGAAATATAATATAATCCAATTTATACCAGGAATTTTTTTTTTTCAGGGTAGGTAAAGTATTTTTATTATAAATTTCAAGATCTAAAAAGTAATTTGTTACATAGACTCAGATAAATCTGTGACGACTTCTTATCCAGCTTGCAGGCCCTGCAGTCACTGTGGCCTGCAGGAATGAAAGGACACAGTTCCACCCCTCGCAGAGGGATGGGGTTGGTGGGGTGAAAGAAATCCACACTGCCTCTCCATAGCGCAGTGGCCTGGGCCCCCCACCTTCTCTCCCCGGCATCTGGGCTGTGCTGAGTTCTGGGGAAGAGGCCTCTGCTCCCGTGTGGTGAAGGCCAAACTAGAATCTCATGGTAGCCTCACACCTGAAGCTCAAGCTTTTTATTCTCACTTTAAATTTCAGTGATATTTGGGACTCACTGATAAAAATCTCATTTTATTTCAATGATAGCATAGTTAATAAGTTATGATCAAATTCAGTCTGTAAGCCTGAGGACGACAATCCTCACCATGTAGTAAGAGACCCCCAGAACTCAGCGCCCAGTCCTAGTACAGGTCATATACTGGGAGAAACATACTAACCCAGGGCTAGACACAGCGTGTGACCCCTGGCGCTGCTGGTGCGTCACTGTAGGCAAGTGGGTGACCATGACGAAAAGGGCTCGGAGGCTCAGCAGGTCAGTCAGGTCATCCTCTGGCCTCTAAAGAAGACAGATATCTCTGTGCCAGAAACTTGCAGGCTAGGGAACCCTAGGTTTTGTTTTTGTGTTCTCATCTACATAAGTTTTTCAAGCTTCTGAAAGGCAGCATCTCTGCAAAGTGGGGCTGTAGGGAGCTTTGGGCTCATTGGGTGTGGTGGTGTGGGGCAGGCGAGCCCTCTCCCATGGTCCAGAGGGGTCCACGGGCAGAACAGCAGTGTAGAACCTGAGGTGGTGTGACGTGGGGACAGAGCCCTCACACTATGGGGTGGTTCGGGGAAGAGGAGGCAGAAGAGGAGCAGCTGCGGAGCTCAGGGTGCCCATTAGGGCAGACGCAACTCCCCAGCTAAGCCTGGTACTCTCTACCGGGCTTTCCTAAAGTAACCCTCTTCCTGTAAAGCAGTGGACCTCCACAGGGGATGATTCTGCCCACAGGGGACTTTGGCAATGTCTGAGACACTTTTGGGTTCCTCATGTGGAGTGGGTGCTACTGGCATCTAGCCAGGGCTGCTGCTGACATCCTCCGGTACACAGGATGGCCTAACGGGATCACTGAAATGCCAAGCACCCTGTTCTAGGGGGAGTACTGTAGTCATGACTTTGGATCCAGCGTGGACGGAGGCCCTCGGAACTGGCAGTCAGATCAGACCACAGTGGATGCACTCCATCCACCCCAGCCCTCATGTGTGGGTCAGGCCGCTGCCTGTGTTCCATAAATGTCGAATCAGCTCAAACTCCAGCCAATACAACTAAAACCTGAGACCCTCTGCGTCTTCCTTCTCCTCTGAAAAAACCACTTTCTTCTCAGAGCCAGTGCGACCCCAACTGCCACGACCAGGAGGGCCACAGCGGGGGTCCCTGGGAACAGCAGTATAGACTTGCCCTCGGGCGCAGGGAAGGCCTGCACTTGCGGGCAGGAGGCGTCTGCCCACTGAGCCTCTCCTTGCTCACAGGGGCCGCCCCTCGTTCGTCTCCTGAGGCTCCGCGGCTGCTGCTCGCACCTCTTCTTCACTAGGCCTCAGGAGCAGAGACGCAGCAAGGCTGGCTCCCCCGAAGGAGACCCCTTCCAGGTCAGGTGTCCTCGTCTGCAGCAAAGAAGTGGCAGTGACGTGCTGAACCAAGGGAGCAGGGCTCCGGGCAGCTCCTTTGGTGGCTCCCTGGTTGGCAAGGCGGTGGCAGCCCCGGCCACCGCTGCCGCGCCCTTAGGCATCTCTTCTTTCTCCACATGCACAGAGTCGGAGTTGGGAGAGTTGTTCTCACTCTTCTCCCCAGCTCCACTGCTATCCAAGCTTTTGACTTCTTCAAGATCCATGGCAATCTGCTGCCAGGGCTCAGGGCTGAGAGACACGGGGAGGCTTTCTGTGTGCCAGCTCTGGCTCGCGGACAGGGAGACAGGCAGGCTCTCTGACTGCCAGGAGGTCAACCCGGTTGGAGACTCCCGGGGGCTGACTTGTCCAGAGTTGTCGCTGGGCAGAATGTAAATGTCATTGCTGTCCTCTGCAGTGAGGCCAGGGTACTCCTCCTCCTCCCACTCAAGACTGAATACAGTGCCCCAGCCGCCTTGCTGAATGATGTACTCTGCTGCGTGCTCCTTCAGATACCCCACACTGAGCTGCAGCAGTGCGCTCAAAGGCTCTTGACCACGTCTTGTCAACTCCAAAAGCATCTGCTGTAGCAAAACCAGAGGCACCAAGATCTTGTTCCAGCCGCTGGCATGAGCTGCAGCCTCCAGTACACATTCTTGATACGCCTGATATGTCACTGGCTGGCTGAGGAGCATTTGCAGTGCTTTATGCAGAGGCTCTTTCAGGTCTTGGGACACTCTTGCTCCAAGATGGGCCAGCAATCTTCTACTGAGCTTTCTGGGTTAGCAGGGCCAACCCAGAACACGGGAGAAGTGTGACGATCAAAGCCTGTGCTGGTGAAGGCTTGGCGTAAGGGAAGCCATTGCTCTTGCAGCTTCTCCTGAGAGAGAAGTCCCAAGTAGCTGAGGATGACATATTTTGTTTCATAGTGAAATCCTAGAGGCACTGTAGTAGAAGACGCTCTTGATTTGGCTGGCAGAACTCCCCAGAGGTCTACTTACAGATGTGTCAGACCTGGCCCTGGCCCGGCCCCTGCCCCAGAAGAGACGAAAAAGGTGGCGGAGGCGGCACTTGCTTCCGACAGGGTTTCCCCCAGCGGCCTATACCAGGAACTGTATGCAATGATTTTCCACTTAGTAGAGAGATTTTACTCTGTTGTGGTGGTGGGAGGGGTGGGTTCAGAGGATAGGAGGTAGGATGGAGAGATGAATGAGGTTAAATACAGCAGGAGCAAGGTTGGAGGGCACAGGACTATCATCCAGGTTTTGGGTGCTTGTAGAACACAGGAGGGAAGGATTGGAAGAGAAGTCCTAGGAGTTTTGAAGTGAACCAGAAAAAGGACAGACAATGTTTAGTCACATGAAAGTATCATAAAGTGAAGCAAGATAGTTGACAAAAGTGAGGAAGAGGAGGAGTAGAATAAAACAAAAAGAAAGGCTACAGATGACCTGCTGGCTTGTATTGCTGATGTTGCATGGGATATTTCCATTCCTCTAATTCTACGTGTCCATCGTGTGTGCCTTAGCCAGGGTCATACTGAGTCACTGGGGTTCCTGCAGGTCTCTGGGGCCTGAGTCCCACCAGTGGAGGGAGGGAGGGGCAGATCTCAGGCTTCTCTGCCAGCAGTGCTGTCCCGATTGATTGAGGAAGGGAGGAGATGACCTCAGACTCCTTTTGCCATCTGCGCTGTCCTGGGACAATGGAGTGATCACATCAGTTTATACTTTCTTTTGGGGATTTATTTGCCTTTTTTAAAACTTAGAAACATGGTTTGTGTTTAAGAATTTGTTTTTTACACTTCACAGTGACTTTCTGTCTTTTGTAGCCTTCCTGTCATTCATCTCCACTTCGCTGGCCTGGATTCCATTGCCGTTATTGGAATCACCCTCTAATTTACACCCTCCACTTTTCCACTGACCTGGGTGGGCCGGGTATTTGACCTGGCAAAACAGAACTTAAAGCAACACTGGCTCTTCTGAGCCTGTATCTGAGTAGCTGAATGGGGCTGAAGGAAAATGCACCATGATGTTGCCTGCTCTTCATTACATTCATGGCCACTGACTTCAGGGCAATCCCTAGGCTGTCTGACAAACCTCTTGTTAAGTCACTCTCCTGTCTTTCTAAAAGAAAGGAAAGAAATAGACAGCTAAATGTTATGTCTTGTATCTAGGTGTCCTCCCAAAGCCTCCTTTGGTGATATGTGTTGTTTTTTACAAGTGGCTGGATCTAGGATGTGTGATGCTAGGATTAAGGAAGTGGTGCTGGGAGTAAGGGTGGGCAGCCTGGATAGAAGTGAAGGGACAAAGAGACATCTACAGCAGTCACCTCCTGCTACTTCACTGCATCCCTGCCTTCTGCCTGTGCTGCCATGAACTGCCTCTCCTCTGCGCTGCCCCTCTGCCATGCTGCCCTGCCTTGGAGTCAGCTGGCTATGAGCTGAAGCCTCTACAAAATGTGAGCTGAAATAAACCTTTCCTCCTTTAACTTTGGATGCTGGGTATTTTGTCTCAGCAAGAAAAGTAACTGAAACAGCAAAGTTCTCTCTTCTCTTTCTTTAACTCTCTAGTACCTCACCCCTTCCCTTTAATCTGTGCTGATGGTCTAGCTTCCCTATTTTCAATGAGAAATGAATGGGCAATTAGCCATTCTGATACATGGAAGCTAAATGTAGTTTTGCTTTGCATTTCCCTAATGAGTAAAGATATTGAACACTTTTTTAAAAATACACTTCTGGACCATTTGTACGTCTTTTAAGAAGTGTCTGTATAATCCATTTGCCACTTATTGACTGAGTGATTTCATGTTTTTGGTGTTCAGTGTTTTAAGTTTTTTGTGTAGCCTAGATGTTAACCCTTTGCTGGAAGAGTGGCTCACAAAGTGTTTCTCTAATTCTGCAGGCTGCCTCTTCACTCTGTTAGCTGCTTCTCTTGTTGTGCAAAAACTTTTAAATTTGATTTAGTCCCATTTGTTGATTCTTGCTATTATTTCCTGAGTTACTAAAGTTCTATCAGGAAACTTCTGCCTGTGCCTATGGCTTCGAGTGTTTCCTCTTTGCTTTCTTTTAGCAGTTTAACTGTTTCAGGTCTTGCATATAAGTTTTTGATCCATTCATTTTTTTTTTGGTACTGGGAGTGAAACTCAGGACCTTGCACGTGCCAGATAGGTGCTGTGCCACTGAGTTACATCCCCGACTCTTTTGATCCATTCCGAACTGAGTTTTATACAAGGTGAGAGATAGGGAGTTAAGGTCAGTCTTTGTAAGTTGATATCCAATTTTCCCAGCACCATTTGTTAAAGAGGTTATGTATTAGCATTCTTTAGAGGAGCAGATGCAATATGAAATCTGTGTGTGGTTGTACAAAGGATTTATGAGATAGGCTTACAGGATCAGAATTAGAAGTGTCCCAAAGATCAGATGCTAGGTCAGAGAGAGAAGATTCCAAATTTGCTATCTTGGTGCTGCAGACCTGGAGGACTCAGCAGTACTCAGAGGCCTGGAAGCCCACTGCAGGTATTGGTGCAGTTCTGTGTGAGAAGAGGAGAGCTGGGCATGGGGAGAGGTGGCACACACCTGTAATTCCAGCATCTGGGAGGATGAGGCAGGAAGAACCTCATGAGTACATGGCCAGCCTGAACTACACTGGAAGACTGAAGAGTCTATGCTGAGACCCTGAAGGAACTGGGAAACAACACCCAAAGGCCATGACAAAGATGGGGTCTTCCCATAGAAAGGGAGCACTTCGGCTTTCTTTCCCTTTTTATTCTGTCTAAGCTACAAGCTGATTGGTAGGCACCACTCATATCTGAGTGAGTCTCTTGTCCTAGTTTTCTGGCCTATTTGTCAGTCAATCATGGATACACCCAGAACTTACTAATCTGCTAGGTGATTCTTACTCATGTCAAGCTGACTAACACAATTAACTATAGCAGGCTGTGTTTTTAAAGTGTGTATTTTGGGCTCCATTCAGAATCAGATGGCTGTAGTTGTGTGTGTTTGTTTCTGGGTCCTCTATTCTGTTTTATTATCTATTTGTCTATTTTGTGCCAGTACCATGTTATTCTGTTACTGTTATTGTAGAATAGTTTGAAATGGGATATTGTGATATCTCTAGCCTTACTCTTTTTGCTTAGGAGTACTTTGCCTTTTTGTTTATTTTGTGTTTCCATGTGAATTTTTGTGTTATTTTTTCCTAGTTCTGCAAAAAATATCATTGATATTTTGATCAGGATTGCATTGAATCTGTAGAACCCTTTTGTTAATATGGCCACTTTGACAATATTAATTCTGCCAATCCATGAATATGAGAAATATTTTTATCTTCTAATTCCCACATTTTAGTGTCCTGTTCAGTTTATTTTTTCGGTGTTTTGAAATTTTTATTGTTCAGGTCTTTTCCCTCCTTAGTTAGCTTGAACCTTAAATTGAATATTTTCAGAAGCTATTGTGGATAGAATTGTTTTCCTGCTTTCTTTCTCATCGCATTATTATTGGATAGAAAAGTCATAGATTATTATTTTATATCTTGCTATTTTGTTAAGTTTGCTTGTCAGCTTTTAAAAGTCTTTCAGTGAAGTCTTTAGATTCTTCTAAGTTCAAATCATATTTGCAAAAAAGAATGATTCAACTTCTTCCTTTCCTATTTTGATCTTTGATTTTTTTATCTCGACTAATTGCTGTAGCTAAAATTTCAACAACCCCATTAAATAGGAGTGGTGCAAGTAGACATTCTTGCCTTGTTCCTGACTTTAGAAAAATTGCTTTCAATTCTCCCCCATTCAGAATGTTGTTGGCTAGGGGTTTATCCTATATGATATTTACTATATTGAGGTGTGAGCCTTCAACACCTAATTTCTTCAGGGCTTTTATCATGAAGTGGTTTGAATTTTGTCAAAAGCTTTTTGTGTCAATTGAGATGACCATGTGATTTTTATCCTTGATTCTATGTGGTGTATTATGTTTATTTATTTGTATTTGCTGAACCGTCATTGCATTTCTGGAATGAAGTCAGTTTGACCATTATGCATCATCTTTTAAAATGTGTTGTTGAGTTCAGCTTGTGTATATTAAGGATTATATTAAGGATTTTCACATCTATGTTCACCAAATGTACTGGTCTATAGTTTGTGTGTGTGTGTGTATGTGTGTGTGTGTGTGTGTCCTTGCCTGGTTTTGGAATCAAGTTGATGTCAGCCTAACAGAATGAATTTGGAAGATTCCTTCCCTTTGTATGTCATGGGATAGTTTGAGGAACATGGGTGTTAGATCTTTAAATTTCTGGTAAAATTCAGCAGTGAACCTGCCTGGTCCTGGTCTTTTCTATGTTGGGAGACTTTTTACTAATGTTTCAATCTCATTGCTTGTTATGAATCTGTTTAGTTTTTTTTTTAATCCTCTTGGTTCAGTTTTGTTAGATCATATGCATTTGGAAGTTGATTGATTTTATCTAGATTCTCTAATTCAATAAAATATAAGATTTCAAAGTAGTATTCCCCAACAGTCCTCTGGATTTCAGGGATGAATGTTGTATTATCTTCTTTTTCATCTCTCCTAATATTGATTTTGGTCTTTTTTCTCCTTTGTTTAGTTTGCCAAAGTGTTTATCAATCATGTTTATTTCTTCAAAAAGCAACTCCTTATTTCATTGATCCCATGTATTGTTCTATTAATCTCTATTTCATTGGTTTTAATTATTTCTTTCCTTCTTTTCTGTTTAGTTTTGGTTTGTTTCTGTTTTTGTAAGACCTTAAGACACCTCATTAGGTTATTTTAGATTTCTCTGATTATTTTTGGAGACAGGGTCTCACTATGTAGTTTTGGCTGGGCTTGAACTCATTGTGTAGCCCAGATTGGCCTTAAACTTACAGAAGTCCTCCTGCTTCAGTCTCCTGAGTGCTAGGATTACAGTTGTGTGCTACCATGCCTGGCCCTCTGTGATTTTTCGATATAGGCATTCATAGCTATAAACTTACTTCATAGAACTACCTTTGCTATATCCCAGGGATTCTGGTATATTGTATCTCCACTTTAACATGATTCACCATGCATTAAAAATAAGTCAAGTACTTTTCCTTAGGACAATATGGAAGATGCCTCCAGAGCAATCAGTAATCAGAGAAACCCTGCCATTTTTAGGCTGAAGTGTTCAAGAATGAAAGACTTTGCTTTTAGAAGAGATCCACACAACCCACTGTTGGATAAGGACTATGTAAGGAATTGGTTCTTTGGGATTTGATTCACAGTGTTCAGCCATTTGGGCATTCAGAGGTCTCTGCAACCATGAGCCAAGAGGCCCCAGATACTGCTAAGTGGCATCCACGTGGTGCTGGTTTTATAGGAATGCACACTGCAAAAGTTGTGAGGTCTGGGAGGTTTCCACCCAGGCAATGTGCCTAATAAAGCTGAAGGAGTGGAGCTGAAATTGCAGTGAAGATCTCAGGAATTTGGAGAAACCAGGGGAATGTCTGCTGAGAAAGGCCACAGGCAATGAACAAAGTCATCCCAAGAAAGAGGCCTTGAGGGCTTCAATCAGTATTGCTATGGGGGTGTGGTCACCAATACCATTTGGAAATCAGATCCTATCAGAATTTGCCCCAGATCATACAGCTACAGGATTTAACATTTGCTTATGGGGTTTCAGTCTTTCTTTGGTCTTCTATCTCTCTATCTCTCCCTTTTGGAATGACAGTGTTTACCCTATGCCATTGTACATTGGCCATGTTTAACTTTTTGATTTTTACAGGGGCTCGTATATAAGACTTTGCCTTGTGTCTTAGAGGAGACTTTGGGTTTTGACTTTTTGGGAATGCTGGAACTGTTAGGACTTTGGCAACTCTTAGAGCTGGACTAATGCAGTTTGCATAAAGAGATACAGGTGAGTATTTTAGGATCCAGGCATGGAATTTTATGATCTGTATCTAGACCCCCCAAAAGGCTCTTGTGACCATAGACAAGATCTTTTGAAGGTGTTTGAATCATTGAAGAGCTGTGTTCATCAGTGAATTGATCCACTGATGAGTTCCTGGCTGAATGCACTATTAGGAGGTGTCTGGTCAGGAGATGTAGGTCGCAGGGGGAAGACCTGAAGGGTGTATATCTCTCCCTGGCTCTTCCCTTCCCTTTCTGTTTCTTAGCTACCATGACTTGAGAAGCTTTCCTTCATATGAAATCTTTCCACCACTCTCTTTCTGAATTGGAGCCAGCCTACTGTGGACTGAAACCCTGAAGTTATAAGCCAAAATAAATATACCCTCTTTTTAGTTGCAGATTTCAGGTACTGTGTCTCAGGAATGAGGGAAGTAACTAAGTCAAAAGTACTTCAATTTTTTGTGTTTGTTAAGGGTTCCTATATGACCTACAATATGATCTACTTTAGAGAATGTTTCATGAACTGCTGAGAAGAATGGGTACTCTGGAGTTGTTGGATGGAGTATTCTATACACATACATTCTATACACATTCGGTTAAGTCTACTTAATCTTTTGTTTAGTTTAACTCTGATTTTTTTGTTGATTTTTTGTATGGATGACCTATTGAAATCACTCACAATTTTTGTATCATAATCTATGTATCCTTTATGCTGTGTAGTGTTTTATAAAAGCTAGTGTACCAATATTTGGTGCATATATATTTATTTCATATTCTTGATGGATTGTTTCCTTTGCCAATACAGTAACCTTCTTTGTATCATGTGACTAATTTTGTTTTGAAATTTGCTTTGTCAGATATGAGTACAGCTTCTCATGCTTGCTTTCTGGTTCCATTTGCGTGGAATATTGTTTTCTATTTTTTTACTTTCAGTCTTTCAGACATAGATATGTCTTTGTTAGTGAGGTGTGTTTCCTGCAGGTAACAATGAGTTGGGTCTTTTCTTAATCTGACAGTCTATTTTTTTATTGGAGAATTCTATTCTGACAGTCTGATTTTTTTATTGGAGAATCACAACTCTACATTTGGAGATATAGAAAGATACCTATTGTTTTGGGTTTTTTTAAGGTCTGAGTTTTTCCCAATTCTAAATAGCTTATGCACTCTTTCTTTTCTTTTTGTAGGATTCCTTTAAATAGTTTTTGTCATGCTGGCTTAGTGGTCATGAATTTCTAAATTTATACATGCCTTGGAAAGTATTTATTTTTCCTTCAATTTTATGGGATAGTTTTCCTGGGTAGAGTAATCCAGGTAGACGTTATTTTATTCAGGTCTTCAGATACATTGTTCTGTGTCTTCCTGGGTTTTAAGATTCCTGCAGAGAGTCTGCAGTTATTCTGATGAGTTTGTCTCCATAAGTAACTGGTGTTTCTCTCTTGCAGCTTTCAATATTTTTGTTATGTAATCTTTATATTTTAACTATAATGTGAGATGGAATAGTTCCTTTTTGGTCATGCCTGTTTGGGGTTCTAAATGCCTCCTGTACCTAGATGTCTATATCTTTTCCAAGATTTAAGAAGTTTTCTGTTATTTCAGTAAATAGATTTCTATGCCAGTAGCCTAAACCTTGACTCGTACTCCTAAATTACAAATTAATAAGTTGGATTCTATTTTAGCTGTGTTGCAGAATTCTTGGATGTTTTGTTCACAACATCTTGTTTTTTTATTTATTAATGTTTTCATGTAGTAATTCCTCAACTTTATCTTCAAACTCTGAAATTCTGCCTCCTGCTTAATTTTGTGCATGGGTGAGGTTTCTCATTGAGTTTTTGATTTAACTCATTGTACTTTTAATTTCCACAATTTCTGCTTGGTTCTTCTTCAGAATCTTTACTCATCACCCTCAACCCTTTCCTTAACTTATTCTGTTGCTTACTGTATCCTCTTTGAAGTCACCGATCATGTTATAAATCAGTCTTTTGAATTTGCTAGCATTTCATCCACTTACATATGTTTACACTCAGTTTCTGGCAATTTATGGACATTCAGAGGAGTCATTTTGCCTTGTTTTTTCACACTTCTTGTGTTCCCATATTGACATTTGTACATCAGCGGGAGGGGATGTCTCTTCCATTTTTATTTTAGGGTCTTATTAATGTCCAACCTTCCTTTGAGGGCTTAATCCCTGGTGTCACTCAGAGAGAAGAAAGCAAACTGCATTAATATTGATGACACAAAGACAAACCAGCTATTAACATGTGGTAAAAATCAATTAAAAGCAACAACTATGCCACCATTAACAGTAGAATAGAAATTTGCAGTATTGATGTAGGATAAACTAACAGGCTAAAAGTTATTAGTAATTAAAATTAACAGAATGGAAGGGATCAGAAAAGGGAAAAATAGGAGAAGCAAAACTTGAAAAAGAAAGAAAATGAATGCAAATAAATCTTAGGATTTCTCAAGTCATAAGATGAGAAAGAGGAAAGTGAGATTAAAACTCCAATTAGAGGATAACATTCCTTTATTGCTATTATTCCTCTGTATGTTGTCTTCTGTTTCTCTGTGACTTTAACCTTCCTTTCTGCTCACTTTTGATTCCCAGAGCTCTGCTCTCTCTCCTCACTAAGTAGTTGTTTTCCAAGTGTCTTGATTCCAGGCCCTGTAGAGGATGTCACCTGCTACCAGCTTTGGTTCCAAAGTGTCCTCACTACTGTGTCTTACCAGTGTCCTGCTGCATTATCGTATCCTAGCTTCAAAACTAAGGCTTCCTCCACTGGCACACAGGATTGCACCCCTCTTTTTCTCCTCCATAATATTGATCTGACAAATGCCTCCATACTGTGTCATCAATCTTTCCAGGTCACTGGGTGATTCCCACATAATGTACAAAATGTTCTCGAATCTCCCTTCTTTAGAAACAATTGTCCCTTCAGCTGCTGCCTCATTCTTTGGTTCCAGATTTCAAAAAATAACTTCATAAGGCTTGTCTAAAATTGTTACATCTCCTACTTATACATCCTTCTGCCATTCTTTCTTGAATCTACTTAATTTAAACTTTTCTTCCCACTCCTTTGACACTTATCAATGTCCCCAGTGATCTCCACCTCAACAGAAATCAGGTTTGGGTCTCAGTATTCATATTATTTGAACAGAATTTGGTAACTTTTCTCTTTCAGCACATTATTCCCTTGCTCTAGGACTATCTTTCTTGCTTAGCTTTCTTAGCCATTATTGGGTTCTCCTCATCTCCATAGCCTGTCAGAATTGGTGTGGTCTGGGTCATACCTCCTAAATTCAATGAGTGGGTGAACCTGCCTAGATGTGTGACTTTATACACCAGCTTCACATTGATAAATTCCTAAGTCATAGGGCAACATTCAGTAGGACAGTTATGTGTTACTGTATGTGGAGTACTGAGGTCTAATCTTTCCAGCCGGTCAAAGCTATTCCAGTTTTTTTTGTTGTAGGTCATCATGTAGTTCTAGAAAACCAGTGAGCAATGGGCAGTGAGCAATGAGCAGAAAGATAGGCTAGACTTTTCCATATCTTAGTTCACAGCTGAAGCTGGGCCTCTGCATCTTAGCTCTTTGCACCTTAGGCTGCTGTACTCAAATCATCGCTATTCTTCCTCCAGAAAAACCAACAGAACCAGGTGTTTGCCAAGTACCTTGGCAGAGTCTGTTTTAGACTGGGCAGAAATGAAGTCTGACTGTGATAATCACTGCTCATCTTTCTTAATACTGTGTTCTAATCAGTATTATTCATAGCCTACAGGGGTATTTAGTATGTTTCATGAATGTTGATTGAATGCATGAGTGCATTCATGCATGAATACAGAGCAAAGTCTTCTTTTCTAATATGGAATATTAAATAAGGATTTCATTTTTAAGGTTTAGTTTTCAATGTGAAATCAGAAATGAGATTGTTTTCTGCCTTTGCCTACCTCCAGAGTTAATGAGATAATGTGTAAATAAACTCTTTAGAACTAAATGTGCTCATTAAGACTCATATTTTGCATACCACCTTGGCATTTTAGGATTAATGGTGCTTGTAGGAAATTGGAACCACTCCAGATCATTTGGTAGACACATTGCTATAACTTCTCAGGAAAGTAATAGGAAAATACAAATTTTCAGAGGATCTCAGACCACTGGTTAATAAATTATGTTCAGAATTCTCCTTAGATAGTGACTTGTTGATATGGAGAAGACAGGAAGGATTGGTTGGTTTCATGTGACCAAATGAACTGACCCTGTTCGTTAGTCAGAAAAAAAAATGAACAACTCAAATTCATACGAACAGCTCTCTGTACATTTTCTCGCCTAATCCGCCCACAGCACTCTGGAGTGCAAATTGTTGTGTATCTGACAAGTTATCACATATTGCAGATATTCGAGGCTATCCCAAATCCTGGCAAACTCTTCTGCCAGGAGATCAGGATCCTAGTACATATAAAGAAAACTCTCAACTTTAGTAACACTGCAATTCTTCTGGGGTTTCTTGTAGACACAATTGGTAGAATTTTGAACATTACATGTTGTACTCTGTATTTTATGTTAGAAAATCAGGAGGAACTAAAGTTTATTTATGTGGGAGTTCACAGGGGAACCATGAAGATTTGAGTTGCTGTGAAGCCACACTTTCCCTTCAGAGTAGGTCACTGTCAGTTGATGCTTGCTTTCCCCAAGGATGGAGAGAGGTAAAAGGGAGAGTTGGTCTGCAGTCTCCCAGAATGCACTTAATCTTGTTGACCCATGATTGACAGTGACTCTTAAACCGAATTTTTTGCTAGTGGTTTTTTTATAAGATGAGCTGCACATTATTCTGAGGTTGGCATTGTCTGAGTTTAGATGATCCTGTTAGCACTTAAGGGCTGAGGTTTGACAACAGCAGTTGAGCTTGTAGATGCTACAAGTTTATGAAGTGGTTTGACTTGTCTTCACCATTTGATATTAGTCAGCCTTGTCCTAAAATCTAATATATCCCTTCCACACAGGGCTTCAGATAATATGTATATCATTTCTTTAGAAGTTGTCATTTCTTTTGACACTTGAATATGTGATTAATTAATGAAAAAGGAAGAGTATGTACCTGAAATATCTGTGTGAATCATGCCTGCTAATGTGATTATACCTTGCGTGTGAAAATTAGTTTGACCTTTTCGCAGAAAGCAGACTCTTGTACTACAGTTATTGTTCTTTGGTACATCCCATTTTCCCTCAAGATCAAAGAGAGCATGCCAGATAAAAACATGTAATGCACATTATGTCTAGTGACTTTCAGATTTATTTTATTTAATGCTCAACTAGATAACAGTAACATGGTTTTCAAATCAAACAATATAAAAATTCACTGAAACTTTGGTCACACATATCCCAGACACCATCACACTTTAGAGATGAGGGCTTTCATTTGTTTGGTGGGTATCTGTTTGGAGATTTTTACATCTCACATTCACTTAAGACAAATTCATATTCTTATATTCCTGTGTTGTCCAGTGGTAATCTACTAATTTTTTAACTCAGTGACTTATCTTAGAAAAATTTCTATATGAATACAAGAAAAGTTGTCTAAAAATGGATTATGTAGCTCAAATTTTCAAATGCACCATTAATGTGCCTAGAAATAATCCTATAGATCTTCCCCAATGATAATTTATCTGAATAAATTTACTAACACTGATTTATTCTTGCATTCTTGTGTTATGGATTTATAAGTAAGGTTGGTTTATAAATTTCTTTTTGTGCAGATTTGGTTATATTTTGCTATCAGTGCCATATGCTTTATCAAATTGAATTGGAAGTATTTCTTATTTTTTACACTTTTAATAATAATTTTGATACTGTTAGAATAATCTCTTCATTGATGATTTGATAAAAATTTCCTGGAGAAATCATGTTGGCTTGGTCATGTTGGAAGAGAATAATGGGTTTTTTCTTTATGCGTTTTGCTTTGAAATCAGCATTAGTTGAATTTCCCACTAGAGGTATCCATTGAACCCAGGTTTTCAAATGTATTTTTAAGATTGTGCAGGATGCAGTCTTAATGGGGTATAATAGATCTCTGATATTACAATGGTTACTTTCTCTCATCAGGGAGAAGTGAAATTAAACTTTTCTTTTGGGGGAGCAAAAATTAAAAAAAGTGTGAAAAACATTACAATGGGTTAATCTTTAGGATTATGTTAATATTCTCTGTTTATGTTTTAATTGTTTATTTTTCCTGATTTTACATTTACTTCTTTTTTGTTGGTTACTTTAACAATTGTTTTAGGTGTCTTATTTTTCAATTTTTAAAATCTAACTTTTGGAATTATATATTGGTTCTGACTACTTTTCTTTAGAAACTCTTTTTTTGATTTCTCAAAATTACTTAATTTCTATTTTTGTTTATTTAATAGTTGTTTTTCTGAATTTTTGAGTTGACATTTACTTCATTAAAATAAGCATGTCATAAAGTTCTGATAAGTAGTAACTTCATTTATCATCTTTTTGTAGAAACACTACAGCAACTTCCTTCATAAAGCTACCTAACATTTTTTCTTCATAATTTGCAGATGAAAAGAAATATGGTTTTCTGATTTTCAGTTAATTTCTACATTTATGGAATTATCATCAGAGAATATTGTACATAGTTCTTTGTTTTTGCATTTTATCTTTATGGGCTAATATATGGTCATTTTTCATGAATATAACTGTAGTCCTCTAAAGAACATATAGTCTCTACTTTTGAGGCACAGAGTTTGATATATCCAGAATTAGATGGAATGATGGGTAAAATTTTCCTGTTTGGATCTGTTTCTTCCTATGTCTCCCTTGTAATACCTGCTTTATACATGTTGCTGCTATGCATTAGGGTTAAAGAAAGTCATAATCCCATCTTCACTGAGCTTTTAATTTTTTGTACTATATATTTTTTATCTTACATAAGGTTTATTAGAGCTGAATCAAAATTGTGTGATACTGAGGCCGTAACTCCTGCTTTATTGTTGCTAATACTTTACGAGTGTGTGTGGGGGGATGAGGCATTATCTGAGTAAAATTTTGATCTTGTATTTCCAACCACTTGAATTTTGCCTTTAGTGCAGTTTGAGGATATTTTTTTCGGCTGAGAAGCATTTGTCTCAACTCCTGTTTATAGGATGTGAGTGTGTATCCATCTTACTATAGGGGTGCTCTTCTTTGTTGCCTATATAAGTGTATGTGTGTGTGTTCACATATGTGTTTTTAGGAAGTTATTCATTAATGGGTAACTTTGCTTTCTAGTGCCTACTTGTATATCTTTGTCTAATACTCTGAGTGCTCTACAGTTTTAGATGTAACTATTCGTCATAAACAATGTTCATTGGTGTGAATCCTCTTCTTTTCCCTGCATTGCATTTTACCCACTCTCATATTTTATTAAAGTTACATTTCTTAGTGTTTATATTTACATGGCTACACATGCTTGCTCTACTACTTATGCTGGCTTTAAATGTCATTTTTAACCTAAGCTTTTATAGATGAGTCAGTCAGTGAACTTATTCTACTAACCACCTTTTCTAGTAACCTGTACACCTTGCTATATACATGTGACTTGTGTCATTTCTGTCTTCCCAATGCCTATAGCATTTATTTTTTAATGTCTTAATTTCACAGTACAAACATATTCAGTGTTTACCACCAGTTCCCCAGATACTTTTCCTAGATTTGTTCCTTTACATTTTTTTGTTTGTTTTTTTTCTGGTACCAGGAATCG